GAAAGTGCCCTCTCTCAGGGCTGACATTCGGAGGAGAGATTGACAAACAAGCAACCACATGAGAGGATATCAGGAGAAATCAAGGCTCGGAGGGAGTTGAAATAACTGGAGTCATGGCAGGGGCCACCTACCATTGGGAAGTTGGAAAGTTTCTTCAAGGGGCCATGCGAGTGGGATCTGAGCAACCAGAAGAAGCCATACCTAGTGGAGAGCTGGGGAAGACCCCCCACCACCACCACCAAGGTAGGGACGAGCTGTGCTTAGGGAAAACAAACTTGTCCTGGCAGCCCAGTGGGCAGTGACAGTAGGAGCAATCTATTACCCCAGCAAAGCACACACAACTCCCTGTGCTTCCCCAAAATATTTTCAGATGTTCTCTTTCCTCTCATATGACCCTCCAAGCCCTTGGCTTGCCTTTTTCCCCCCATCATCAAGATGTGTTTCAGCAATGTCCCCCTCTGGCTAAGATGTGCAAACCTCCCCTCTCCAGGGAGTTGTTGGCTACCAGAAATGATTTTGGAAAATAGTTCATTTGTCTCATTTCTAATCAGTGGAGCAATTACTTCTTTTCTCCCTTCTGATGAACATTCTTTAAAAAACTCTGTGTATGGTTTGGTTGTTGGCAGGGAGGGTGGTGCCAATGGAGCTGTGTGCAGACGCCAGTCAATGGCTCTCGAATTTGGTTAGAGCAGCCGCGAGCTGAGAACAGTGGTCAGGGGCTGCTCTTTGGCTTCTTCGGCCTCACCTTGTCACCTGCTTCTCTCCTTTCCCAGGGGCGCCATCCCAGGCCAGGTCTTTTTATTTCACGACTGGGTGATTGCAACAGTTGGTCCCTCTGCCTCTGAGCTATTTTCTTTCTCATTTCTTGTGTGTGCTACTCTCAGATTCATCTTCCTAAAACCCCTCCTCAGTCATATCATTCCTCTACACTGGTCCCCATGGCCTCCCAACTCAGGGTCCCCGGTCTGGCATCCACCCTCACAAATGTGGCCTTTTAGATTTATGTGAGTAAATATGGCATTTCTTTCGAGGCAATGTGTTTCAGGTTCTAGCAGAGCACCTCCGATTTGCGTAAAACATTGCTCATGCTGGAAATGTCAGCATCACCCAGAAGAATTCTTGGAAGTAGAGAAGCAAACAAAATTAATGGTGTATAAAGGCAAGCAGTGCCACCAAACTCACCCATCAGTTGTGACAAGCAGGACCCACACAATCAAAGTCCTACTAGGTGGCTTAAAAAGAAAATCAGGCCTAAAGTTCCATTCACAAGGAGCAAACATTTCACCCAATTCAAAGACTGGTTGTGTGCATGGGTGAATCAGGAAATCACTGAGTCCATCTATTTTTTTTTAAGATTTATTTATTTATACAAGAACTGGGGTACAGGTCAGAGGTGTGGGAGGGTGAGAGAATTCACCAGTGAGAGCGGGGAGCAGAACAGGCAGAAGGACCGAAGACACTGCTGAAGGGAGCAGGAGGTGAGACAGGAGAGGTCTGCCATGCCATGTAGTTTCTCCCTAACCGGCTGGGAATCGAACCTGCACTACAGAGGCTGCGGATAGCTTCCCAGCACAGCACTCAACCTGCTGTGCCACCAGGGAGGCCCTGAGTCCATTTTTTAAATCTATGCTCTATTAGTCAGTGTAACTCAGCTGCTATAACAAATAGGTCTCCTGATTTCAGCAACTTGACATTGTAGTTTATTTCTTGCTTATACAACAATGAGCTGGTGGTCCATGGCAGGCTGATGGACAGCTTTCTTCCATGGGATAATCCAGGGCCTGCTGATATCACTTTCTTCTGCTGGGGTAAGAGGGAACAGCAGAAGATGTGTGGAGAAGGCACATTCCCTTCTTAACAATCCTGGCCCAGAAACTAAGCCTCAATCCCGTTGGCAAGGTCAATGGCCCCAATGGATAGAGAGTGTGTTATTAATTGCTCTAGTGATTTACCCCACAAGTTACAAAAGAATCTTATAATCTAAGCTATCTGAGACACATGTACTGGCTTTACATATAGCTCCTTTCAAAAATAAATGAGTTATGACTCTCTAATAAGTATAGCAATCATCACAAAGCAGTGACTACCGGCCTTCAAATATTGCCATTCCCAAACCATTCTAGAAAACACACACGTTCACACACACACACACACATACACACTTCATCACCACTCAAGTTTGTTCTGGTGCTTAACAAGTCTCTGCGGTGAGAAGTCCTTTCATCTCCAGCAGTTTCAGTCTCCTTCTGCAGACATGAAGACAACAGGGCATCCCTGCCATGAACTGGTGCTTCCAATCACCTTTATGTGCCTTGTGAGTGACAGACAGGAGCTGATTTGGTCTCTAGATCAACAATAACCAAGTACTTAAAAGTCACTCTCCGCAAGCTTTTGGTGTATTCAAATACAACTGAGGCCTTAAATCCTGACTTATTAAATAAGGAGATGGTTTACTGTGATCTTATGTTGACGCTACTGAGTGTCAGGGTGAAATGTGAGGCAGAAAATCAAAGAGAAAGGACATTTTAAATGCTCTTGCTCTTGCCTGTTGGAGGGGAGGGAATGTACTTGATCAAACATTTATGTCGGTACATTTCCACTTCTATCAGAGGTAATAAATACGAGTGGATTTTTCTTTCCTAAATGTCCCTATATTACCTTTGCCATATTCTTTCTATCTTTAATTTAAAAGGGGCTAAATGGAAATTAATAACATCTGAGACCAATGATGGCCATTAAAAGAAATTACAGATTTCAGGTAGCCAAAAATCAGGCTGGGTGACCCAGCCCCTTTCTACAGAAGTGCAGGGGACACTGAGAGGAAGAGGTGCTCACCTTTGCTTGGCATATAAGCCCCTGCTGCATAAATGTCAGCCCAAACCACTTTCCTTTCCTCCCAAGGAAGAACTGAGATCAGGGTAACATTCTGCCTCTAGACACTGACCACAAAACGATGTTGTGGAGCTGGTAAGACAATCACCTGACTTCCGGACACTCTGTGGCTGTTTGGTTAGAATTTGGCACCTTGGCCTGCGTCCCTCACCTTTACCAGGACTCATATGCAGTGGAACTTTGCCCGTGCCTGCCGTTGTCCCTGGGGCATGCTGCCCATTAATTTGAAGAGACAGAAGCTTTGGGAAAAGCCCTCTTCTCCCAGGCCTTGACTTCTGTCTCACTTCAGCCATAAACTGAGAAAAGGCAACACCTATAAAATCAAAGAAGGACACAGTCAGTCTCAGAGAAGCAGAGGCTGGGCAGTGCCTGGAAGCTGTGTCTTATAAGTGTGCCCTCTGTCCCTGCTGGGGTGACATATATACCCAAGAAAGGCCCTATACTGTGGGAAGGGACTGAGGATTTAGATGGATAACTAGCGACCCCTGCTTCATATGAAGGATGTTTCTATAAGGCACCACCCTCAAAATTAGCAGCTTAAAACAACAATCATTTTTTTCTCTCTCAAAATTCTGTGGGTCGACCAGATGTCTCTCCAGCTGGCTATGTCTTTGTTCCCTGGTGTGTTTGCAGCCAGCAGGCAGCTAGGTCCAGCGTCATCTGGATGACCAGCACTGGACCTCTCTCCCTCTCCGTGGAGTCTCAGGGCCTTTCCATCCCACCAGGCCTCTCCAGCAAGATAACTGGCCTCTGTACCTGGCAGGTCAGGACTCACAACGAGCACAGAAAGGAAGCTGCTGGGCCAATTGGGGCTCAGGTACAGAGTCACCGGTGCTGGGATTTCCCTGGGCTACAGCAGCCCCAGGGGCAATCGGCAGAGAGAAATAAGCTCCACTTCCTGATGTGTGGAGATGTGGGGAGATGTGTGAAAAGGGAGGCTGGTGAGGAATTTGGAATAACAAGTTTTTTAATTCTCTCCTGCAGTAGATTTTACCTGTTCCTGGTCCTTCTTGGCTGGACAAAGTTCTCTTGAGTTGCATTCTTATTCCTGGCCTGATATCCTTTAGTGTGTTAACAGCAGTGAGCATTTGGCCTTGTTAACTCTCTTCATAAAACTCCTTGCCTTTAGTTCATTAGCTGACACTGTTTTTACTTGGAAGATGGCAAAATATGTGCATGAGTGAGTGTGTGCATGTGGTGTGTGCTCTGTGTGTGTGTGTAATCACTAAGAAACATAACAAATAATAAATCAGGAAAGAAAAGGAGTTAGGTGACAGCCCTATTTGATGCTGAAAATTCTTTTTTTTTAAAAAGATTTATTTATTTATGCATACAAGAACTGGGGTACAGGCCAGAGGTGTTTGGGGGGGGGTGGAGTGGTGAGAGGATTCACCAGAGACAAAGTGGGGAACAGAACAAGCAGATCAACGGAAATACACTGCTGAGGGGAGCAGCGGGCATGTCAGGAGAGGTCTGCTGCGCCATGTGAGTTGCTCCCCGGCCGGGGATCAAACTCATGCTGCAGAGGCTGCGGATAGCCTCATAGGTTGGATCTTAACCCCTTGTGCCACCAGGGAGGCCCTGATGCTGAAAATTCTTGACTTCAAGCTATTTTCAGAGGTAATCTTGGCGAGGTCCATAAGAAAAAAAAAAAAACTTGAGAGATACTGGGGTGTTTTAGTCAATAATTAATGTGGCCTACTGGTTTCAGAGACTGTTTTGAGGGGAGAACATATTGCAAGAAGAAATTCCCATCTCGCCACCCTTTTCATCAAGCCTATTAAGCTAATGATTTTATTTTAACAATGGCTTTCCCCACAGCCAGCCTGTCTTGGGTATAGACTGCCAGACATGGTTACTAAACACCCAGAGACTCAAGCAATTATAGAAGATGCTATTTTTAAGTTCTCTTGTATAGTCTCCTGGGCAATAAGGCGCCTAACATCAGCCCCAGAGGTTCTGGAACCTTCTGTGAGCCTTGGCTCCCTTCAGGTACATTTGGACACTTCTTCCCAGGGCTTATCCAAGAGCTGGATACCAAGGGGGACCTGGCACTCCAGGGGAAAGGGCCACTGCCACTTTTTTTTTTCCCATTTTCTTTTTCTCTCTGCCCTCAGGCCCCATGAGACAGCCCACTGGCTTGGCCTGGGGGCAGCCTCGAGGTTGTACACAGCTCTGGTGGCTTGGGGAGCAAGGATGGGTGCCATCACCGGCCACAAAGGGCCACTTCTAATCCCAGGTAAGGCTCTTGGGGATGTGTTGCAAAGCGGCCAGCGTCCCCAGTGCTAACGAGAGTCGTGACTTCTCTTTCTCCTATACCTGGTGGGCTGTGGACCAACGTGTTCTTTTCTTGCCTGGCCCTGTCTGTGACCGAAAATACATGTGTGTGTGAGGCTTCTGGGTTTAAAGTGGCACCTGAGCCAGGTGGCAGCCAATGTCCTTAGGTCAAAGTTCAAAGTAAAGGAGGCTGCTCATGGGTGGCTTCAAGTCCCTTTGGAGGTCTTTTCTCCTCTGGACCATGTCGCTTGTTGCCTTCAAACTACATCCCACCCTAGCCCTCATTTTAGTGTCAGGGTGCAAGTCCCTCAGATGCTTTCTGGTGCGTTTTACCCCAGTCTCCACCGCTCCCTCCCTGCTCTCCACTCACGTGTCTCTGCTTCTCTGTCCCAGAGATCCCCTCAGTTCCCTAGACCTACATATGAGCTTTCTGTAGCAGGCCAAGTTCTCCTCACCTAACCAGGAAGAAAATATATTGACACACTTCTGGAACTTATTTCTTACAAAATTTGAAATCTCCATACCCCTTTGTTCCCACCCATGAATCGGATGTCTAGCAGAGCAGCTACTAGTCAAGGGTGTGCTTCTACAAATTGAAGACGGGGCTTAAAGCAGACTCACCCCAACCCCAGAAGCATGGTAGGGTCTGGAGCCACACCTGGAACCTGGTAGACATTCCATATCTGCTGAGGGGGTGAGTGAAGGCACAGCCATGTGCTGCCAGGTCCGCAAGTGGCCCACCGGCCGCGCACAGGCTCCGGACTGCGAACCAGCTGTTCTGCGTGAAGTCGCTGACCTGAGAAGGTTCATAAAGTCGTGAAGACTTGGCACGGTGTTTCTCTGGACCAGAGGAGGCCCATGGGGTGCCCAGGCAGGCCCCATCCCTAGAAGAGTCAGCGTCTGTCTGCTCTTGATCTCTGGGCCTCAGGGGCAGCCTCACTAAGCCGCCCCCACCCGCTGCTCCAGACTGAGCTCAGGTGAAAGGTGGGTGTGTGGCAATCAAGGTCAATGAGGGAATTTCACCCCCACCTGAGGAGTCTGAGTTCACTGTGCAGCCCTGATATTTACCAGGGAAGAGGAAAGATGCCCATCCCTCCCTCCCTCGCTCCCTCCTTCTTTCCCTTCTTTTTTTCCTTTTTAAAACACATTCAGAAGTGTTTTAATAGCTGTTGAAGGAAATTATTGCGGCAGCAATCACAGCTCTCTGTGTGAGCCGCCTTCAATAGTCTGCAGCTCCCTCCTGAGGGCGGGGGGACATTTGGATATTAAAATGCCACTGAGCTACATCTGCCGACAAGCAGCCACTAATCATCTCTTAAGGCAGCAGGGGACGGACCCCAGGTCCTCAACTCACCAATCGCTTCCTTAGGCGGGTTGCAGCCAGATGGTGGTTTCTTAGGCAAGGACAACAGAGAACGAGGAATTAAGAGGTGGAAAAAGGATCTGGCAAGAGGCCAGCACAGAAAGGACCATTTGTTCATCCTGTCTGCTTGAGGTGAGAACAGACCTGCACGACTGGCATCCGGGTGGTCCAATTTCCAGTTAAGTGGCTCCTTGGAAGAAGGATATGGCCTTCTCGTTTGCAGTTACAGCCACAGACTAGAAATTATTTTTTCAAAAGAGAAAAGTGCTGCTGTAAGTTGAGAGGCTCTTGTCTGCATGGCTGGAGGAATATATCCATTGGAGCCCCCAGGTCCTGTCTCCTGCTGCTCCATCTTCCTCTGAGTCTTGATGCTGACCTACACGCAGGGCCCCCTTTTTCTCTGTCCTACACCCAGGTCTGGTCAGTGGGAGGCAGTGGCGGAGGAGTCAGGCAGCCAATAAGAGCATAAGATCAGGCTATTTATTCCCTAGTTCACTCCCTGCAGAAACTCCACCTGGGTTGGTGGCATCTGTCTTAGCTCTGACCATGGTGTCCATTCATCTTGAGTAGCCCACTCTGTAATGTCACCTGGGTGGAGCAGGGCTTCTGGGTTCTGATAATTGCTCCCTTCTTTACCCTTTAGGCCCAGGGTAGATAAGGACTTATCCCACCCCCCTCCTGCCTCCATATATACTGTTGCTAGCCAGATACTTGCTACTCCTGTGTCTCCCCATTCCTGAAATGCCTTCATAAACCACCTCTTTATTGCACTCTCGTCAAACTCCCAGCTTGAATGTGCCATCTGTTTCCTGGCTGGTGCACAGGTGCACTGAGGTTTTTATGCAACTTCTCACAGACCTTCACATCAATCCTGCAATGACATCAAAACAATCCTCTTCTACAGAGAACAGCAATGTGACTCGCCCAAGGACATTCAGCTGGAATTTGTGACTGTAGGCATCAAAAGCATTTTGTTCTCACTTCCAAGCTTAGGCCCTGCCCACTGGCCCTAAAGATCTCTCAGCCACATGGGGGTCTGCCTGTGGCTTCCTAAATCCTTGCCTCAATCTCTCTTCTCCAGCTGCTTTATGAACTGAAATTTGCTTACTATCTTTTTAAAAAAGCACTTTAACACATTTGATTTCATTTGCGCTGTAGAATGTGGATTTACTTGGATCCAAATCATTCCCAGGTATACCAAAAATTTATATACTTAAGGCATCCAGCAAGAGGGCTGCCAGTAGGGAAGTGAGGGAGGGACCTTATATCATCCTTCAGTGTGCAGATACGGTTTTTGCTCTGGAAGGGTGGCACTGTCCCAACACAGGGAGCCAACCTACCTACAGCACATGCTGTAATCGGGGTCACTTTGCCTGGTTTGAAAGTCCATCTTCCTTTTAATGCAAGGCATGCCCTGTCTCTATTAGGATAAAGCAGATCTCCCTAAGATAGCAATGCAGTGGCTGATGAATATTGATTTTTAATTTCTTCTCTTACATGTTTGATTTGAATTTTCCACTCTCCTCCATACAGTCATCAAGAACTTTCCATCTTTTCTCTGCATCCCCTGGGGGCAGTGCAATTTAAAGGGTGGAAGGCAGATAAGTCCAGTCCGCAGGCTGCTTGGCAACAGTATCATGAAGTGGACCAGAGAACTCATCACAGTGAACAGGTTATAGAACAAAATGTTGGTCCATGATAAATTGGGGGTAGGGTGGGGTAGAAATGCAGTTCTTCAACATAAGTACTTTGAGAAGCACTGCCTTAGGATAATCTATCTGGTCAATTCTGAAGCCAACAAGAAAAAAAGAGCATGGAGGCAGTGAACCCCACTTCATAAGGTGCCAGTCTGCGAGTGGCTCACTTCCTTCTACTCAAATTCCACTGGTAAGAACTTTTCAATATGGCTGCCATCCCATGCCACAAGGGTTGCTGGGGAATGTAGTCCCTAACTGGGCAGACTGTTAAGACACTCAGTTGAGGAGAAGGGACAGCTAGTTGTTGTTGTTATATCACCTTTCTTTATCATCCATTCCTAACTAGAACCTACTCTATTCCAATCAGTCCCAACTTTTCTATAACCAGCTTGCTTAACAGTCTTTGCACTCTCAACTCTCAGTAGAGTGCATTCTGGAAACAATACCAGACCAGGATCCAAAGACTTGCTTTCTTATTCTGCCCACTGCCCTAAATGGTTCGATGATGTGTTAGAGGTTTCTCCTCCGATCAACCAGGGATAGTGATACTTACCAAGTAAAATAATTGCTGGCCAAGCATGGCACATACTATTTAATAACAATAGCTAATCTTTTTTGGGCATCTACTATGTTCTCTGTGTGTTACATGTATTAATTCATTTATCCTTCAGTGAACTTACAAGAAGATATTATTATTATTTTCGTTTTTCAACTGAAAAAAGTGAGGGACAACCAAGCTTATAACCATTGCAATCCTGCTTTTGTAATAGGCAGGTAAAGGGTTTGGGGAATATTTTATCCTGTTTTCCTTGAATTCCCTTAATTTCCACTATAATTCATGGGCCATCTGGCCAATCTCCCAGTGAGATGATGAATTCTTTCTGCAGAGGGGCCATTTATTTTTCACCTTCATCACAACCTGCCCAGCCTTTGCTCTCACACAGAAAATGCACAGTCAATATGTGTGGGTACAACACAACCTCTACTAAACCCACAATGTCATGGTGGAAATGCCATAAATTTGCCATCATCACACCTGGACGATGGTGGCAAGTCCCCTCTCTCCTGGGTAATAACTGAGTGGATTGGGAGAGTTATTTCTCCACCTAAATTCACAGAGTGAGCATCCTTTTTCTCTTCATTAAAGTGAGTATAATTGAGAGAAGTTTAGTTCTGGATGCCATGGCTGGCTAGAGGAGATTCTGTCTCTTGCAGGTGATGGAATCATTCATAATCAATATTGGGGGATGGATGGCTAATCAACCCCTCCCCTAGCAGAAATAAGGGCTGTCGGCAGAAGGGAAAGACTAAGTGCAACGTTGAGTTGGCTCCTCTGTTCAACAGCAACCACCCAACTGATAAGTAAACACATCAACAAGCCTTCACATAAGCCCAGAGCTGAGTACGGGTGGAGAACTAATTTTTCCTCTTTGCAAAATAAATTGAAAAATCCAAGTGTGAAGTTTTCAGGCTTATTAGTAAATTCTAGGACTCAAAGGATGCCAGCCTTTCCAGGGATCCACTGTTCTTCATTTTGAATTTTTCCTCAGGCTTCGGATGGTGACAAGATTGCTGCTGACTGCTCAGTCCATATCCTTCATGGTTCACATGACTGCTCTAACCTTGAACCAATTTCTGGTCAAGAGTCTAAATATGTAGGTTGATTTTGGCCACCTTCTGACCCTTGTGCCCTCTGACTTCATATTACCCTACTCTGGTCCAGCCACACTGGTCACCTTGTTACTCCTCAAACACTCCAGACATGCTCTACCTCCGGGCCTTTGCACTTGCTCTTCCCCCTGCCTGGAGCACTTTTCCCCGAAGAAGTCTACGTGGCTCCCTCCTGCATCTCCTTCAGGTCTTTGTTCAAGCTTATCTT